AGCGCTGGTAATCTACTGCGGGAACCAGATGCATTTCTGCCCAAAGTCGCTGGGTTCTGAGATTCAAAGCAATCAAAGCAGCAAGGTGCCCCTAGTGGCAGGCAAAGCACGGACCAGAGCAGAATTCAGAAGCCAGATCTGTGGCCACCCCCCTCACAGGGTGCCCTCGGCAGGGAACAGCAGGCATTAAGTGCCAGGCCTTCCTCTTGCCCGGGGTACTTCCTGGGTCTCAGAGACATCTTCTGGACCCTTGTCAAATGATTTTGAACAAGGTGCAAAGATCTTCATGGGGAAAAGACCATCTCTTACCAGCCTACTTGGATTCCCACGCACGAAAGAATGAAGTTGGATCTAACCTTACAATATTCAAAAGTTAACGCAGAGTGAATCAAAAATCTAAGTGCTAACAATATAAAAGTCTTAGTTGGAATCATAGAGAAAGATAAAGAAAAAAGGGGAGAATCATAGGGGGTTGGGGAGGTGACTCAGTGGCAGAATTAATATATGAATTTAATTCCCAACGAGAGAGAGAGAGAGAGATAAAGGAAGGAAGGAAGGAAGGAAGGAAGGAAGGAGGGAGGGAGGGAGGGAGGGAGGGAGGGAGGAAGGGAGAAAAAAGAAAGAGAGAGAGAAAGAAAAGAAAGAGGGGGAAGGGAGAGGGAAGGCAGGCAGGCTTTATGACATTGGATGTGTCAGTGATCATTATAATATTTACAAATTCTGGGCATCAGATATAAACAAGAGTGTTTTTTGAAGGGCCTATGGGGGGCGGGGGTGGGTGTTTTCCTTGCACAAGACCAACCCGGGGAGGATCCCGACATGCCATATAGGCCCCTGAGTACCCCCAGGAGTAATTCCAGAGCACAAAGTCAGGTGTAGCCTCTAAGCATCTTCGGATATGACCCCCCTCCCCACCCCCAAAAAGGGGGGCTAAGAAATGAGAAAAACAAATCATTGCAAATCATCTAGAACAGCAACCCACTCCTAGGACTCAACAACGTAACAAACAAGCCAATTTCAAAAGGGGCAAAGGACTTCAGTAGGTGTGTCTCTGAAGGAAGCACAAATAGCCAGTGGCAGCCGCAGAGAGGATCCGCCACCAACCATCTGCGGACAGCAGCGCCCGGGGTTTGCAAGCGGCTTCCAGGAGGAAGGGGGCCTTGCCGTGCCACCAGGAGGAAGGGGGCCTTGCCGTGCCACAGGCTGCACAACCCCAAACCCTGCAAAGCACCGCAGGGCCCCCCCTCCAAGGGCCCCGCCTGCACAGGGACAACGTGGGGGCGGTGAAGGGGTGTGCACAGTGAACTTGGGGCCATGGGCGTGTCCCTCACACTAGCAACACCGGTGGATGCTGGAAGTGTCTTGCGGAGCTCGAGGTGAGTTTAGGCAAAGTCGTCTTCCCTCTAGGTTCTAACCTGTTGGCGGGTGGCGGGCGGGCCGTGTGTCCCAGGGCTGGCCCGGAGCAGAGCCCAGAGCTGAGCTCAGCCCTGCGCTGGAGGGCCAAAGGAGCACGCGTGCCACGTGTGTGCATGCGTGTGTGCATGTGTGCATGTGCATTTGTGTGTATGCATCTGTATGTGCATGTGTGCGTGCGTGTGTGCGCATGTGTGTGCACGTGTGCTGCGTACATTTGCGAGTGCACGGTGCGTCTGCATGCATGTGTATGTATGTGTGTGCGTGTGTGCGCACATGTGTGCGTTGTGCGTGTGTGCATGAGTTTTTATACGTGTGCTTGAGTGTGTGCGTGCGCCTGTGTGTTTGTGCATGCGTGTGTGCATGTGTGTACGCGTGTGTGCATGTGTGCACGTGTGCTGCGTGCGTTTGCAAGTGCACAGTGCGCATGCATGCATGTGTATGTATGTGTGTGCAGGTGTGTGTGTGAGCCTTTATGTTTGTGCACGAGTGTGTGTATGCGCATGTGTGTGCGCGTGCTGCATGCGTTCGGGTGTGCGCATGCATGCACGTGTATATATGTGAATGTGTGTGCGTGTGCATGTGTGGTTCGCTCAGCAAACTAGAGGCTTCCCCCTGGGTGGAGAATCCCTCCTTTGCTCGTTTTTGGTTTGAGGCCACATGTGGCAGTGCCCGGGACTCCTGTGGGTCTGTGCCATGGCTACGGGCAGTGGTGCAGGTCCAGCGCTCTCCGCTAGATTTCCTGTTCCATGGGGCTGTGGGTGCAGTCTCGGACTTTCAGCCTCCAGAACGATTTGTTAGAGAGAGAGAGTGTGAGAGAGCGAGCGAAAGAGAGAACGTGTGAAAGAGAGAGCGACAGAGAGAGAAAGAGGGCTCAGCGGGTCTGGGCCCACCCCACGGAAGAAGGTTCCATGCCGGCTTTGCACAGAGCAACCCCTACCACAGAGCCCAGAGTAGCCCCGCAACACTGCCGGGCGTGGCCCCAAAGCAAAACACAAAACAAGGAACAAACAGACATAAATCACTTGTTTAATTAAGGTTGAGCACATTTGGCTGAGTGATGTTGGTGTCCCTGCGGCCACTTTGGGGAAGAAGCGTCCCCATACTGCCTCCCTCGCCATGCCCATCTCCTCCTACCTCCTGCCTGGCCCCTCTGCCCTCTCTTGCCTGCCCCCCACCTGGGTTCTGCCTCAGAGCAAGGCTGGGGTGGGCTGTCCCTGGGGTCCCCCGCTGTGGAGTGGATCATTGGACAGGAAGTAGATTTAAACAATTTCTAAACTTTCGGGGATTGAGCTACAATAATCAGTGGAATGACCTCCTTCCAGACCCTTCCTTGACTTCCCTCCTCCGTGCTCCCAGGAGCAGGCAGCGGGTGCCGAGGCCTGCTGGGGTCACCCCAGCTTGGGGGGCAGGGCCTCAGGGCTGGGCACAAGGCCCCCCCCATCCTCTACATGAGCCTTGAGCCGGTGACTCTGGGAGCAGGGAAGCTCCTCCGTGCCTGCGTCTGTGCAACAGCTCAGCTCATGTCCTCACTTCCAGGGACTCCCCACACCATCACCCCAGCCCTGAAGCAAGTGTGTGACTCGGCACAGCCAGGCCCAGAAAGAAGTGTGTGGTAACACTCCAGGCAGGGGTTCTGGGGGCATTCCTGTCCAGATTGGGGGGGGGAGGCGGGGAGTGGGTAGTGAGGGCCTGGACGCGCGGGGCTGGTAGCAGGGGCACCAGCAGGGCCCATTGGGTCTGAGTGGGACCTCTGCCCCCTCTGCGCCCCCCCTGGGGTGGGCCTCTGGCAGCCACAGCACAGCCCAGAGCCGGGTCGCCGACAGCACTGGGTCACACTCCTCTGGCTACTGCATCTTCAGGGTGGCAGGGTGGTGGCCGCTTCTGGGCCCTGTCCTTCCCCTCAGAGTGGCGCGGGCAGGCCTGTGACTCTCCGCATGCCAGCACACAGCAGACACCGTCCCAGCACAAACCTCTGGGGCCACCAGCGCCCAGCCTGCCTCCACTCTCCGCCTCCTGCTGTCACCATGGAGATGCCACACAGGCACACACCTGGATCCTCACCAGATCGGCGCTCGCCCTGCCTCCACCCTCCCTCCCTCCCTCCCCATAGTCTCCCGCAGACATCTTGTTAAGTGCAGCTAGAGCAGCAACGCCCACCCACCTCTATCCTCGGGAGTCCTGGGGGGATGAGCAAAGCACAGTCCAGCCCCTGGCAGGCTGCCAGAGGCTGGAGCCCGGCCGTCGCTCCACTGGCCAGGGCTCTGAGCCTCCCGGGCCACAGCGTGTCCTTCTGCCTTCGGGTGCTCTGACTCCCCCTTAGGATGTGGCCCTCCTGGGGACAAGGGGCTTCGTGCCCCTGGAATCCCTCGGGGCCTGATTGGAGCCTGGAGCACATCAGACAAGCCTGGGGTGAGGGGGTAGGGGCGTCCAGAGCGTGTGCTGGGCTGAGACCCCAGCTCCTGAGGGCTTGGCCACGCTCATCTCAGAGCCTCAGGGCTGTCCTTCCCGACGAGGCTGGATTTGAAATCAAACGTTATTAAAGTTTCATTTAATAACCCGTGCTCCACCTATCCCATTTCTCTTGGAGGAACTATGAACCCACTTAGCAGACTACTGGAGACTGTTTCTTCTGCAGCGGGAGCTGAGGCCCCAGTGGGAGCTGCAGGCGTTCAGGGAGCACGTGCACGCGGTGGCAAGTCCTCCCACGACACCCCTCGCCGCGGGCCTCTGCCCCCCGGCCTCGGTCCTCGCCTTGCCCTCGCAGAGCGGGGCAGAATAACGGACCGAGGCAGAGCCCAGGCGGCCCCTGAAGCTCCCACGCTCGTCCGCAGCTGCCACCCGGCTGGCCGCCTTCCCTCGGAAAGCTCGTGTCCCCGGGCCCGTGAGCGGCGGAGACAGCGCGACGGCCGCTCCCCGCGCCGAGCAACCACGACCCACGGGGGACCGGGCGGGGGCGTGGCCTCGGCGGTGGGCGGGCGTGGCCTCGGGGGGCGGGGCGGGGCGCTGCCGTGGGCGGGGCCTCGGAGGGGCGGGGCTCGCGGGGGCGGGGCAAACCGCTGGTCGCGCGGCTCGGCTGCGGGGGCGGCTCCGGGGCCGGGGGCGGCGGCCGGGCCGCGCCCCGCCCCGCCCCGCCGGCGCGTGGAAGTCGCGGCCGTCGCGTTGGCGTGTGCCCCCCTGCCCCACGCTGCTGCCCCGCCTGAACACGGCGCTCGGAGCCGGCGCTTCCGGCCGCCGCCGCCGCCGCCTCCCGCCCGGAGGAAGCCGCGAGCCGGAGCGCGGCGCGGGCGGGGCGGCGATGCGGAAGAGCGTTAGGGCACGTGAGGGCGCCTCGGCCAATGGCGGCGCGCCGCGGCCGGCGCGGGGCGGGGCGGGGGCGGGGCTGGCGGCCGGGGGGGCGGCGGGGCGGGGCGGGGCGGGGCGGCGGGCTGGGGGAGGGGCGGGCCGGGGCGGGCCGGGGGAGGGGCGGAGAGACGCCGCCGCCGCCGCCGCCGGTGCCGCCGCCGCCGCCGCCGCCGCCGCCGCGGCTGCCGCAGCCTCTGGGAGCCTGGAACGGGGGACGCGCGAGCGAGCGGGCGACTCGGGCCCCGGGCGGCGGCGGCGGCGGCGGCGGCTGCGGGGGCGCGACGGCCGGGGCGAGGGCGCTGCGGCCGCGGGGGGCAGGCGGCGGGGGCGGCGGCCCGCACCAGCCATGCCGAATAAAAACAAGAAGGAGAAAGTGAGTGCGGGCCGGGCGGGGGTCGGGGCGTCGCCCCCCAGGCTCCAGCCCCGCCGGCGCCGCGGCCCGCGGCCGGGGGGCGCCGCGCCCCGGCCCCGCGCCCGAGCCTAACCCCACCCGCGCTGCTTGGTCCCCAGGAACCGCCGAAAGTGAAGAGCGGCCGCGCCGGGAAGGACGGAGTGGACATCGAGCCCGAGGTGACTTTCCGCCGGCCCCCCGCCCCCCGCCCCGGGCCCCGGGCGCCGGGGCCGGGGTCTCCCCTCGGAGCGCGCCCCCCGCCCCCGCCCGCCCGCGGGTCGTTAGTGGGCGGCCGTGGGAGCGAGTGCCCGGGCCGGACCGGGACCCCCAGCCCCGGCCTTTGTCCGCGGCGCCGCCCGCCCGGGGTCGGGTGCCGGGTGGGCGCCCCGCCACCCCCCAGCCGCTCCCCTCTCCCCGCTGCTGCGTTGGCGGCCGGCGCGTGAGCGTGAGCGGGGCTGCGCGGGCTCGGCGGGCGTCGCTCCTGGCAGCGCTGGGGGAGCAGATGGGCAGCCTGTGCCTCCCCCCAGCCCGGACTGTGCTCGGCAGCAACGTCACCCCTTGACTCCAGGCTCCGAGCGAGCCGGGGACAGCTGGGGACAGCTGGGGGGACGGAGTGCGTGCCGGGCGTCCTGCTTGGGCATCGGGGACCCCTGCCCTCGCCCCCCTGGCCGGGCTGCTCTTCACTGGCCCCAGCTCCGTGGCTGGCCGAGATGCCCCCGGGATCGTTGGTCACCGAGGAATTGCTGACTTCCTGTCGGCAGGGCCGGCTCCTGTCTCCGAGGACGTTAATCGGCCCGTTGGAGCCTGCTGGTGAGCTGGCACGGTGGCCAGCCCAGAGCAGCTGCCTCTGCCCCCCACGCAGTCTCTGCCCTACCTGGTGCCACCGCAGCCTCCTCTTCACTTGGCTCCTTCCAGCAGATCTGCCACCCCCTGCAGGCTCAGGACCAGCACCCGGGACCCCTCGCCAGCAGCCGGCAGGCAGCCGGCAGGGTGACGGGAGCCCTGGCAGGGGTCAGGTTGGGCCGAGGGGAGCCTGGTGGGGGCTGGGGGGATGGGACCCCTGGCAGGAATTGGAGGGGATGGGAACCCTGGCAGGGGTCGGGTCGGGGAATGGGAACCCTGGAGGGGTCAGGAGGATGGGAGCCCTGGAGGGGTTGGGGTGACAGGAGCCCTGGCAGGGGTTGAATTGGGGGGCAGTAGCCCTGAGGGGTCAGGGGGATGGCAGGCCCTGAAGGGCTGAGTTGGGGGGCAGCGAGCCCTCCATCTCACTGGCCCCTCGCATGAGGGGCACCCCGCCAGGGAAGGTGTGCCACGCCGTTGCGAGCCAGTCTGCGGCAAAGGTGCTTCTGTGTGTTGTGTTGGGGCTCGTAGGTCTTCTCTGAGAACTGCTCCCACCCGCCGTCACCTTTCTCTGCTCACAAATACCTAGGCCGACCCTGAAACACTCAGCAGGCCCCGACTGAGCCCAGGCGATGACCCCTCGGGGCCTCTCCTCTGTCCAGAGCCGCCGGCCCGGAGCTTGTGGTGACCTGAGAAAGCCCTGATACCCTGGCACCCATGGGTGGTGGCTGCCCCACTCCCCTCTGACCTCATGCTTAGGATGAGCTTGCTGTCCCCTTGCACACCCTGTCACCCGCAGTCTCTTGGGACAGTCCGGCATTGGGGCCCGCTGAGATGTGCAGCGCGGTGGCCGTCAGGCAAAGCTGGACCCAGGGACACCTCCTTCCCATGGGAGAAGGAGCCCTGTGCCCAGGATGGACAGAGGCCAGGACAGGCACGGCCACCGCTTTCTGTTGAGGGTAGGAGACCTCCGAGTGACCTAAGGGGCAGGAAGCCGCAATCTCGACACTGGGCAGTGGTCAGCGGGCCGCAGTGCTGGTTCCGTCCACGCGGCACCTCCCTCCGGGCCTGGCGCTCAGCTGTTTAGCGGCTTGAGGAGTTTTAGATTTGGCCGCTTCTGTGGGAGCAAGCAGGGGCAGACTCCTGGAAAGAATTATTTTTGATTTGTTCTCTTGGGCCAGACCTGGTGATGCTCGGGGCTTACCCTTGGCTCTGTGCTCATGGATCACTCTGGCAGACCAGGGGACCATCTGGTGGGAACCAGGTCGGCTACACGCAAGGCAGAGCCCTCCCCGCTGAGCTGTCTCCTAGCCTCTGAAACGGGTTTCTCCTGCATGCCAGACAGCCGTGCGCCAGCCACCATCAGAGCGACCGCGGAGCCTCTCCAGCCGCCCCAGCTCTTGAAGGAAACGCCTTGCTGCGTTTTTCTCTTTTTTTCCTCTCTCGGCTCGGGTATTTCAACACGACTTGCTGGTTCACGTGTCCTGGAGATGAAAGCATGTGCCCAGAATCTCTCAGCACGCTTGTAGAGAGTCAGGCCGCAGACTGGCATGCTGGTAACTTGAAGTTGAGGGATTCTGTGAAGTGTGACAGGGGTGTGTGTGGGGGGGGGGGTCTGGGCGAGCTGCTCCCAGGTCAGCGTTCAGACTGGGGGCAGCACGACCAGGCACACGCTAGGGAGGACCAGAAGCTGCAGAGCACCCAGAGACTCCTCTGGTCGGTGTTGCAGGCCCGGACCGTAAAATGGCTTTTGTTGCTTTAAGTTCATCTGTTAGTGCCCCAAGTTCAGTTTGGGGGGCCCAAAGCGGTAGCTTGTCGGGAAGTGGCATGTATGGCGCAGGCAGGCCTGGCCGCTGATCTCGGCCGTGCTGGCAAGTCTGCCCCGAGGAGACAGTCATGGCTCGTGTCCCTGCCGCTCCGTTTCTCAGAGATGAAGCTGGGCTCTCTGAGGTCCCACGGGCCGTAGGAACGAAAACCAGAGTTGAAGGGCTGGCGCCCAGTGGGGGCGCGGGAGATGGTCTGCCTTGCCTGGCCCCCCCCACCCCCCCGAGAGTGCATCTGCCACATCCCATAGCGTCCCCCAAAGAACGCCAGAAATAACCCCTGAGCATTGCCAGTTGTGGCCCCAAAATTAAAGTTGACGTTTAAGAAGCACGTGTAGGTTGGTCTAGGGATGACAGTAGCTATTACGGTTAGCAGAACTTCTGCACTTTTATCACCAGCTGGCGTCCGTTTCTTCATGTTTATTACCCATCATTAGCATCCGTTTCTTCATTGTTGTGGGGTCACGGGGGGGGGGGCAGGGACGGGGGTGGGGGGTGCTCAGGGATTTGTAGTGTTGGGGATCCATCTTAGAGTCTCACATATGCCAGGTGTGTGTTTTGCCAGTGAGCCCATCCCTGTCCCCCACAAAGGGACGGATTTTGGTGACAGTATTTATTGAAACTGTCGGCTGTGTGGCCGCCGTGAGGCACTTTCATCCTGAGTCCATTGGGGCAGGGCAGGCCTTTTGTGTGTGTCTTTGGGGTGCATGCCCCAGGCGTGGAGGTCTCTTGGGGGGCAGGACCCCCTGTCTGCTGGCTCCCAACCCTGGGGCCTAAGTACAGCTCCATCCTTTTCCTCACCGCCCTTACTATGTGACATTCGGGACCCCGAAACAGCCTTGGAAACTGTTTGAAGGTGCGAGGTGGCCTCTGGCCATGGCATCTCAGCTCAACAGCCCACTGTGGTGGCCGCCCCCTGTAGCCCCAGGGCTGTCTTTGCCGAGCTCCCGGGGGTCGGGAGACAGATGGAGGCTCTGCGGGGGCCCTGCAGCACATCTGAGCAGGGCCTTGCTCTCTTGCCCACTGCGCCGGGAGGAAGGTTCTCAAGCTGGGCTGCAGGCAGGAGGTCTCGGGGCACTGGGAGTCCCGACCTGGGCTGCAGGCAGGAGGTCTTGGGGCACTGGGAGTCCCGACCTGGGCTGCAGGCAGGAGGCCTCGGGATGCTGGGGGTCTCAACCTGGGCTGCAGGCAAGAGGTCTCGGGGCATTGGGGGTCCTGACCTGGGCTGCAGGCTGGGGGTCTCGACCTGGGTTGCAGGCAGGAGGCCTCGGGCGCTGGGGGTCTCCCTCTCCCCGGGCCTGTCTGTTCTGCGCCATTCTGGGGGCCCCCTGCCCTGTGCATCTCCACCTGTCTCCCCAGCTTCCAACTGTGACAAGCAGAAATGCCCTGTTGTGCCCTGGCGGACACGCGCCCACACAGGGAACGGGTCTGGCCTGAGCTCGCTGTCAGCACAGTCCCACCCAGCGCGTTCCCACGTGCGCCCACATGCCCCGCCGTCGGGAGCAGGCCCCCCTCACGTCGGAGCCCTTTCTGGGCAGGCGGCTGAGAGCCTGCACCGCAGGGGTTAAAGCAGGAAGTCTGCCTATCCGGGTCATGCAAGAGAAGCAGCGCTCCCCTCACACGTTGCCATGAAGGGCGGCTGTTTCTTTTCGAAACAACTGTCTGCGGAAGGCGGCTGGGGGAAGGCGTCGCACTCCGGCTCTGCGAGGCCCCTTGATGCCTTGCAGCTGGCTTCTGTGCTCGGCGTGTCCGGAAGGCACAGCCCCTTGGTCTCAAGGCGGCTGGCGCTCCTGTAGTCTTGTGTCCAGGGCCCGGGCACCGGCCTTGGCATTACCGCCTGTGGCCCCCAGGCCAGCCAGTGAACAAGTTCAACCTGAGGGTCTGAGGAAGCCCACCTGCGCTCCCCCAGGGGCACCCTGAATCCCCGCATCCTCTGGGCTGCCTCTCGGTCCTTCCTCCCTCGGCCCCTGGCGTGTTTTGGTTCGGGATCTGGGTAGCGATGATCCGCTTTCCCTGGGGATTGTCCCTTTGCTGCCTGGATGGCCTCTGTGTACCTGTGCTCCGGCTCAGAGCGGAGTGGCCTGTGCCACTCAGGGTCCCCGGCTTGGGACAGGTGGCTGTGTCGGCTGCGAGCTGGGCTGTACTGGAGGGACAGTCTGCAGAGGCCGCCTGCTGGCTGCCCGCCCAGCCATCACGGGAACCCGAGTGCCAGGCGGTTAGTGGCACTGGTTTCGGATCCTAAGCGTGGGACTGCAGGGTAGGCCGGGTCCTGTGGTCCTGTGGTGCTGTTCCCGCAGTGTTGAGGGTCCGGGTCGGCTGGGCTTTGTCCTGCCACCAGAGGTCAGCAGTGAAAAGTGTAGGCACAGAAGCTCGGCTCTTAATGAGTGCATGTGAAAAATCGAATTTCCTTGTCTGATCTTTTGAAAAATCTTTGCTCTGGCCCCTGTCATCCTGTCTCTGCACTGTGCCCCCCCACTCCCCCCCCCCGCTCTGTCCTCCCACCCAGATTCCCGAGGCGTGTGGTGCTGCTGTCGCATGTCTATTTGGAGAGGATTTCTCAGAATACAGGGGAGGCTTCTCACATGCTGTGGGAGTTCTGTATAGAGCTTGTGTCCGGACCTCTAGAGGGAAGCACTGAAGGGCGGCTCCTGGTGCCGGCCTGCTTGCTGGGACACGTCCACCTGGGGCTTTCTGGCTACTCGCCACACCCGGCAGTGCCCATGGTTGGGGCTGCCCGGGCCTTGTGCGGTGACAGCCAGGCCCCCGCCCTGTGATGACAGATCGTGATAACTGGGGGGGGCACGCATCCCCCGCCACCGCTGGGAGACGCAGGTCCAACATGGGGTGCCCTGGCCAGGCCGGTTGGGGGCTCCCGCTTGCTCAGGGGCCCTTGCCCTGTTGTGTTTCCAGACGGGAAACAGCACCCCAGTCCAGTGGTCACAGGGAGAAGGACTCACCCGCCCCTGAGCAGCTGCTGTGTCCTCTGCCTCGTGTCCACCGGGGGGCCAGCTGCTGGGCTCCGGAACAGCTCCAGCGTGCACGTGACACCTTCTTCCTGGCACGACGGTCGCCTGCTCCTAGGGCCGGCAGTAGCCAGTGCCAAGGCGCCTTTGTGGGCGTGCGGGCCCTCGGCCCCATGCTCTCATGTCCAGGCGCTGGTCAGCCGTGTGCCGCCGCTCCATCCCGCCAGTGCCCCGAGGCTCTGGAGAATCTGCCACCACACAGAGCCTGTCCCCTGTCCCCGGCGGTGCTATCCAGGGTCACACAGTGCTGTGGACGTCATGCCACTTGCTGAGCTCTTGGTCCTCCTGCACAAGGTGGCGAGCAGAGGGGAAGGAACAGGGAACTCCACTGGCCGCAGAGGGACAAGGGGCCCTTTCTCAGGGCAGCATCTCCCCATGGGCCCACACAGCCCCTCCTCAGGGCCCGAGTCCCGGCCCTGGTCATTGTTGGACTGAGGGGGGTCAGGATGCACAAATACCTGTCCTTGTGTCCCCTGGTGGGCTGCAGGTGTGCCCAGCTTTTTGGGGCGCCGAGCTGCTTGTCAAGGTGGGGTGGGTTCCTGGGTCAGTATGGGTATCCCGGGTCAGCATGATGGGGGACTGGAGGACAGTGGGGAGCCCCTCGGTGTCCTGTGTGCCCCCTGCCTCGGGTGTTTCCTCCCTGCTGCCCCCTTTCCCCAGCCTGGGTGCCCCACACGCAGTGGCCCTCCAGGAGTGTGGTGGCAGGTGGGTGCCAGCCCTGAGCCCCCCTCAGAGGCCACTGGTCGGCTCCAGTGTTGAGGAAGGCCCTGTCGGGAGCGCCTGGGGCAGGGGGACTCCCCCACATGGGGCCAGAGCTGGGCACCTTCCCTCGCACCCGCTGCCTCAGGGCTCGGCCCCAGACACGGCCCATCCCCCACCGCTGGGGGCCACCCTCAGGGCTGCCTCTGAAGCCGACCAGGGGCTCTGGGGGCATTGACCCGCCTGGGTTTGTGGGTTCCAGGTGGAGGCTGCCTCTGCCTGGCCATACCCGCCCCACCCCACCATCTGCTTCCTACCTCCTGACCCCCTGCCTCCTGGTGGTCAGTGTCCTCAGATGCATCGAGGTCTGGGCTTTCTGGCCAGGGTCCCTGTCTCATCTCGTCCCCCTGGTCAGCCTGTGGGGAGGCGCATGCGTGGCCCCACATGCTTGTCTCTAAGACAGGTGCTTGCTCCCCAGGATTGGTGTGTCAGGGGTCCCAGGCCCCCCACCCCCACACACAACTCGGTGTGACAGCCACCAGAGGCCATGTTGACTCGTTGGTCAGCATGGGTGTCCTGGGTCGGCATAGGTGTTCCCCAGGTCAGTGCGGTGTCCCAGGCCACTGTGGGTGACTGGGTGCCCCAGGCCACTGTAGGTGTCCCTGGGTCAGTGCGGGTGTTCCCGGGTCAGTGTGGGTGTCTCCATCATCGTGAGTGTCCCAGGGCACTGGGGGTGTCCTGGGTCAGCATGGGTGTCCCCAGGTCAGTGCAGGAGTTCCTGGGTCAGTGTGGGTATCCCAGGTCAGTGTGGGTGTCCCCGGGTCAGTACGGGTGTCTTCGGGTCAGTGCGGGTGTCCCCCAGTCGGCGTGGGTGTCCCCGGTCAGTGTGGTTGTCCCCGGTCAGCGCAGGTGTTGGTCTGACTCTGCAGATGTGTATGGCCCGGGCAGTGGTGCACAGACGGGGTGAGAGGCCCAAGAGGAAGGACCTGGGGTGGCCGGGCTGCGTCCTGAGCCTCTTCTCAGCTGAGGGGGCAACTTCCTGCTCCTCCCCCAGAGGCGCGACCCAGGGCCCTGTCATGTCGGGGAGGAAGGAAAGGGGCCTTGTGCCAGACGCCTCTTGTCTGGGCAAGGGAAGGTGGGCACAGCTGGGGGGATGGCGTGGCGGGGGGGTGGGGGGAGGCCAGGAGGGTGACAGTCACCCCAACGCCCTCGTGCGCCTGGAAGCTGCAGCTGCAGCTGCCTCTGTTGGGTGTGCGGCTCCAGAACCTCGGGGACAGGCGCGGGGAGAGGCGACATGCCTGGTCCCTCGCCTTGGGAGGCCACTCGGCGTTGGTTTGGGGGCCACACTGGCGTTGCTCAGGGCTGTTCCTGGGGGCCATTGGTGCTGGGAGCAAGCCTGGCCCGGTCCTGTTTCACGAGCAAGCCCCCGGCTCACCTGTCCCTCGTCATGTCCAGCCCCAGCGCTGGGCCTGTGCGCGCACTCAGGCCACAGGGTGGCGCTCCAGGCTGTCTCTGGCCGACCGCCCTCCCCACTGTGCCCCAGCAGTCCTAGGTCTGGCCCATTGGTGGAAAGTCACGTCCTCCGTCCTCCGTCCTCCGGAGAGCTGCACAGCCCCTGACCTGTATGGGGCCCCTGAATTGCAGCAGAGGACGAGCAGGAACTGTGGTGCAATACCCTCTGACCATGAGTGACCCTGTATCTTCCCCAGGTGGGTGACACGTCGCTCTAGTTCCAGAACATTCTCCCCCCAGAGCAGCTCTTCCTGTGCCTCCTTTCCTGCCACACTGCCTCCACTGCACCTTTCCTGTCAATGGGACCATCCAGGCTGTCACCTGGTGGCCCTGTCACTGTGTGGCCCTCGTTGGGTCATTGCTACCTGCCATCCCAGGGCTGGCGGGACCTCTGGGGTTGCCCTGTCCCTGTCTCTGGTGTTCGGGTGCTTGTTCGCTGTTTGTGGGGTGTTGCTGGGAGTGGGTGGAGGGTCCATGTGGGACCCTCTCTCCTCTCCTCTGTGGTTCTTTGCCCGTCCCCAGCTGTGTGCAGGGGTCTTGTGTCTGCCCACCTCCTCGAGGCTTCCCTTTCCCTTTCCGTGCAGGGTGTGTGTCAGGTGGACAGCGGGCTGCTCCTGTCGGATGGTTCAGTGCTGGGGACCAGGCAGGGCCGGGGGCGTTCAGAGTCAGGTCCCTGCAGATGTGAGGCCTGCGCCCCGCCCGCTGAGCCATCTCCCGGCCCTGGTGTCAAGTCCGCAGCCGTTACACCGCGCCTTCTCCGCAGCCATGCGGAGTCTTGGTCACTGACTGGCCGCGTGCATGTTGCCTGGAGCAGGACGTTCCCACCCGCGCCCGCTGGGCCTTCCTGCCGCGTCCCGTCGGTACCCGATGCACAGCTCCACGTGGGTCCTCCTGATCTGTGACTCTCCCCCTTCCTCCCTCCTCTGTCCCTCCCTTTCTCTCTCCCTCCTCTCTCTCCCTTCCTCTCCCTCCTCCTATCTCTCCCTCTCTCTCTCTCCCTCCTTTTTCTCCCTTCCTTCCTCTCTCTCCCTCCCTCTCTCCCTCTCTCTTTCCCTCACCCTCTTTTTCTCTCCCCACCTTCCCCTTTCCTCTCTGGTGTCCTGATGCAGATGTTTCCGGTTTTCATGAAACCCTGTTGGTGGTTCTTACTGTGAGAAACTGCTCAGACCCCAGGGCATGATGCTTCGCCGCCTCCTCAGTCTGTGGAGTGGGTGCAGCCTGGTGGGACCGCGGGCGGGCTGCACAGAGCCCCGCGGGAGTGAGCCGCACGCTGCCCGCATTCTGGTGCCTCCTGCCCGGCGCGCACCGCCGGCGCCCATGTCTGTCCTGCCTCCGCTGTCTCCGTCAGTCTGTGCCGTGGGCTTCCCTGTGCTCAGGAGGCCTGTGAAGTCGCGGTCTTACAGAGGACGGTGGTCTCCCGGCTGTCTGCCCGGAGGCAGGGCTGTGAAGAAGCCAGTACTGGGCGTGGGGCTGGGCGGAACCCGTCACAGCCAGGGCACCGAGCTGTGCAGGTGTCCCCGTGAAGGGAGGAGGCGGGAGGGGCAGCGCTTCCTGCGGGCAGCCGTGCCCGGCCGTGTCCCCTGCTGGCAGTGGCACCCCTGTGCGTACCCTCTCCGCCCCCGAGTCCTGCACCCCAGGCAGGTGACCAGTGGCTTCTGGATCGGCAACAGCACTTGGTTTCCTGCTGCCCCCACGAGCCCGGGGCCACACGCCTGGGGCTGACGGCGCGGGTGGCCTCTCCTGTCAGGGTGCCCGCCAGACCCAGAGAGACTCATGGCCAGCCTGCCCCTGCCTGAACGCTGCCCGCACCCCTGTTTCCACCTCTGCCCGGCCCCTGCCCCGGGCCTCCTGCCCCTTGTGGCTTGGCCACACCTGGCAGGTGTGCTTACCTGCCCCCAGGGTCCGTTCCAGGGCCTGGACCCCCTTGGCTTGCATCCCCTGGGCAGGACGGTTGCCGGGGGAGGAGGGGACATCCCGGGGGCTCCCACACCTGCCAGGTCAGTGCTCCGAAGTGAGAAGGCAGGAGACCACGGGCATTTCCCCGCTGCCATGCCAGCTCCCGGGTGGGGGTGCCCGCGGGAGCCCCTCCCTGTGACCCCAGTGCTCCTATCTGTGATCGGGCGGGGCTGACCCCAGCACTCCTGTCTGTGGCCGGGTGGGGGTACCCGCGAGAAACCTCCCCTGACCCCCACGCTCCTGTCTGGCCAGGCGGGCAGCCTCGGGTGGCGCTGACAGGTGTTGCTGTTTGTTTTGTTTGGAGGCAGATTTCCAGTAGGAAGGACAGCCTGACTGCTTCCCAGTCCTCAGCGTCCAGTAAAATCAAAGTGTCAGCCCCCGCGCCCCCCATGGTGAAGAAGGACCGGCGCTCCAGCTCCTCCAGGTTCAACGCCAGCAGCAGCCGGGAGCTGCAGAAACTCCCGCCCCTGAAAGGTAACGCGGCTGCGCGTCCGACGTTCCGCGGGCCGAGCTGGCACTGTGACCCTGCGCTGGGTGCGAGACACAGCACAGACACGTACAGAGCCTACGCTGGGCTCACGGCCCCGTGTCGCAGAGCAGGACCTCGGCAGGGATGTGGGGGCCCTTGGGCTCAGGCTTCCCCCTCGGGCCTCCCTCGCGCTTGCTCTGGGAGCTCTGCTCTGGCCTCCTGGCATCAGGGAAATACCGGTAGGGTCCACAGGAGCCCCTGAAAGCACGGTGCGCCCCTGCAGTGGACTCGCTCCTCTCAGAGGCCTGGCAGTGAGTGGAGGGTTGGTGGCTGGGTGGGCAGGGGTGTGTGTGTGCTAGGACACCGCCTCACACGGCCCTAACTCCTGGGAAGCCCATTTTCCTCACAATTTCCCAGAAGGATCGTACAGCCCACAGGGCGCTGTCTTGCACATGTCTGAGCCACATTTGATCCCTGGTACCTTACGTGGGCCCCCCAGCCCCGCCAGGAGTGATTCCTGAGCACAGACCTAGGGGAGACCCTGAGCACAGCTGGGTATGGCCCGAAAACCGAAACCAAAAAATAAAATGCACAACAAAAACGAGGGCTGGAGTGATAGTGTAGCGGTTAGGTGCCTGCCTTACGGATGGCCAACCCGGGTTCGATCCCTAGCACCACATATGGTCCCTCAAGCCCACCATATTCATGAATGCAGAGCCAGGAGTAACCCCTGAGCCCTGCCAGGTGTGGGAAATTAAAGGCCCCCGCATTATTTTAAATAATAATTGAAAAAAACTTGCAAAGGGCCAGTGATCGTATAGAGGGCAGAGCACCTTCCTTACTTACACGTGGCTGACCCAGTTTGATCCCCAGCCCCCCATCTAGTCCCCTGAGCCCCCCAGGAGTGGTCCCGGAGCTCAGAGCCGGGAGTAACTCCAGAGCACTACTGGGTGTGGCCAAAGTCTGGGCTGCCTTGCCTCTGGGCCGCGGGCCCGTGCGGGGACTGGCATTTCCATGCTGTTCATGGGTGTCAGGGGCTGCAACCGGAGCGTCTGTTTCTCAGGGTATCGCACAGCTGTGCCCGTGTGTGTGCTCCGGGCCTATGGATGCATCACGGGCAGGTCCAGTCTCCGCGCAGGCTCAGGCCAGTGGCTCCATCCTCTTCCTCTTCCAGGAGTGCCATCACCTCTGTCCCATGGGGCCCGGAGGCCCACCCATCCTGTCCCATGGGCCTGGGGTCTGGGCACGTCCGGGTACTGTGCTGCAGCCCGCGGCAGGTGGGACCCGGGCTCCCACACTGCCCATGCCCAGCACTCTCTCCGTTGGCCCATCCCTCCTGAGCCGCGTCCACTGTGACCTGCGCTCTGCCGAGGCATTCTGGAGTGGGATGACACGCGCTCATTCTCCACTTAAACTTCACTGCTAAATCCGAGTCTTTTTTATTTTTTTTTTTTTGTAGGCTTTTATTTACCTGTGGTTGTCCTCTTGGAGACCCGGTGTCGTTAGAGCCGGGCTGCCCTGGCACGTCGCAGTGTCCCTGCTGCCCTCACCAGGGTCTTTCTGAGGTGCTGTCGCCATTCTGGCTTCTCGCGCGGGGACCCCGTTCCCAGGGCATGGGGTTCCTGAGGGTCCGAAACAGTCTGGCCTCGGAGTTGCTGTTGCTTCTCTTCCCTGTTCCCGGTCCCCTCGTCCCAGCTGTGGCCTCATTGGGAGCCTCGCCGATGGCTGCAGCCCCCACCCCCCAGGCCACCAGCTCCCTATGCGACTGCCGCTTACCTGACCGGGCTGGGCCTCTGCGAGCACCGGGGGTATCGGCACCTGTAAGCGGGAGGGGCTCACTGCCCTCTGCCTAGTGCTCACGGCACACTCGGGGCCCCGGGGCCTCTGCCAGCTGAAAGGCAGTGCCGGCTGTGTGCTGGGCCGTTGCCCCGTAGTGGTTGTTGGGGGCTGAAGTCTCCACACTTTCTTCCGTATCACCAATGCTGGGAAGTCGCTGAGGTGCCCTTCAGTGGACAAGCTCGGGGACAGTCCGTGACCAGACAACGGGTGTCTCTGGTCCCCTGCTGGGCCCCTGCTGAGCCCCTGCTGGAGGGGCCGAGCAGCCAGGGCGTGCCTGGGATGGGCGGGGCCCAAGGTAGCCAGCTGTGTTCGGGCACAGTTGGATGCCGGGGCGCCCGAGGTCTCGGGCCGCGTGGAGCCGTTTTCTGTGGCACCGTGAGGCATTTGCGTCTCCCCAGGCGCCTGAGTTGTGAGAAATGCAGACCCGAAGTGCAGGTTGTTGCTTTGTTTGGTTGGCTTGGGGGTCATGCCCGGCAGTGCTCCGGGCCCCCTCCTGGCTCTGCCCTTAGAGGTCACTCCTGGCTGGGTCCTGGAACCGTGGCGGGGTGAGGATGGGACCTGGTTGGTGGCGTGCAGTGGTGCCTGCCCTTAACACCTCCACACGCTGTCTACACCGCTGCCCCACCCCACTCGCTTCCGGTCTGTGGTCAGCCTCTAAGGGTCTGCTCTTCTTGGGTGCGTCTCTGTCCAGTGCGGGGTCTCTGTCCTCTGTCCCTTTCCCTCCCTGGTGCATTTGTACTGGCTCGGTGGCCAGGAGCCATCCGTTCCCATGCAGCCGGCGTCTCCCGCAGAGGGGAGTGGTATCGTGTTGTGTGTTTGGCTGCATGGTGTGCTGCCGGCACAGTGCTGTGTCAGTGGCGCGGCCACAAACAGGTGTGTCAAGCTCTCTTCTACTGCGTGTTGTTGTGACCGTGGGGGGGCGCACCATGGCCTTGTCTGCCCAGCTGTGATTTTGGGGGGCGTCTATACCATTCTCCTTAGTGGCCAGACCAGTTTCTGCTCCTTCCTGTCCACGCCCCGTGGCCCTGTGTCCCGTGTGGGCTGCAGGCTGCCCCTGCACGGCTTCCTGGCTGGAGTTCTCAGTGTTTGGGTTTGGGCCCCGCCAGGTTCCGAGCGGGGCGGGAGTGTTTGCGGGGCGAGCGTGGGGGTGCTTGTTCCTGGGTGTCTGCATGCTGCTGCTGCTGCTCTTGGCGCGTTTCCTGCAGGCAGGCCCGGATGCTCTGCGCCCTGCAGCACGGGCCGCGATCCCAAGCCGCTGCCTTGGGAGCAGCTGTCCCTTGTTTATGGACAAAAGTAGCTGACTCCAGCTGGCCTCCAGGCCCCGCCTGAGCTCACAGGTACCGTCCGCATTGTCCAGTGGGTTCCTGGGGTGGGGGCCGGAGGGAGCGGGGGAGGCGTGCAGGTATCTCGCTAGATCATTTGCTGAAGATCTTTGCCCCTCTCCTGTTTTTAATTCTCGTACCTCTGGCGTCTTTGTCTTGAGTTGACTGAAAATTCCAGAAACACGCTGGGTGGTTGTTGACCATTTGTCTTGCTCCCAACTCTAATGGAAATAGACACGTAGTTTGTTATACTTGATAGTTTAGTTTGGGCTGGGTGACAGGCCTGCAGCATTTGTGGCATCGATCATGTAGTTGCTGCACTTCGCTGTGACCCTCTGTCCCCGGACTCTGTTCCCCCGCCCCTTCCTGCCCACCCCCTGGTCATCTCAGTTTCCTCACCCAGACCAAGCGTGTGCGCTGTCCCACACGTCTGTCCCACATATGAGCCGTCATGGGGATTGGCCCTCCTTGCTCTGAGTTGCATCCCTGCGCCGGACGCCACCCAGGCGTGGAGTAGCACCAGGGGAAGGGGCTTCACTCCTCACACTGTGTGTGGCCCCCCAAGCACTACCACGAACCTCTGAACCCCGCCCCAAACCAAAATTAGAAACAAAAACAGAAAACCTGATGCCACCGGGTCGGTCGGGGCTGCAGGGAGTGGCAAGAGTTTGTCTTTGCTTAGAACTGTGCAAATGTTGGTTCTGTGTGCTCCCCACAGCCTCTGTGCACTTGCTTGTGTGTACCACACGTGTGTGTGTGTGTGTGTGTGTGTGTGATGGCCTCTGTATCCCAGTTGTATGTGTGTTACAGCCTCTGCACCCCTGTTGTGTGTGTGTCACAGGAAAGAACTGGGGGTTCCCTCCCACCCCTCAGTCCACCCCCAGGCAGGCATTTAACAAATTTATTTCATATTACTTGGTCCAGTAAAATTTAAAGGAATAGCAAATAAAATTATCATGAAACAAATTGGTAAAAATCAGTTTGTGAATTAATTGCTATATGTTTTTATCCGTTCTTAATTTAGCAGGGGACAGCCATATGCACCATTAGTGAGTGCCACTCGGTGCCTCATGCTTTGAAGTTTCTCCTGTCCTTTATTAATTTTTTTTTGGCATTTTTTGGGGGGGTCACATTCGGCAGTGCACAGGGGTTACTCCTGGCTCATGCACTCAGGAATTACCCATGGCGGTGCTCGGGGGACCCTATGGGATGCTGGGAATCGAACCCGGGTTGGCCACGTGCAAGGCCAATGCCCTCCTGCTGTGCTATCGCTCCAGCCTCTCTCCTGTCCTTTAAAGCTCTTTTAACACTTCTCATAAACTGATTTCAAGGCTCTGCATTCACTAAGCTGTTGCCCGTCTGTGAACTCTGTGTGGTTCTTTGAAATCTGAGTGACACTCTATCTGGATGGAGTATCCTTAGTGAGGTGTTCGTGAGTTTTTTTGCTCTTTCCCTCTATTCTCTCTGGCTCATAGGCTCTCATTTGATAAGTCTGCTGTATATCTTAAGCACTTTCCTTTGTGTATAAGTTCCCCTCTCTGATCCTGCTGCTTTCGATATTCTGACTCTGTCTTTGGATTTGGTCATTTTGCGTCTAATGTGTCTTGGGGTTCCTCTAGCTGGGTCTCCTTTCACGGGGGTCCTTTGGGCCTTTTGGATCTCGGTGCGTGGAATTCTCAGCCCTGGGAAGTCCTTATCAGGGACTTGTTTAGTTAGAGTTTCCTCATCACACTTGCCTTCCCGTTCTCAGGACCCCGGTGATTCTTCCGTTGCTCCTCGTGAACCCGTCCCATGGCTCCCTGGGACGCTCTTCGTCTCTTTTCAGGCTGTTCCCACCATGGGCT